TCTCAATATTGTTTGTTATATTTATTATTTGTTATTATTGTATATAGTTGTATTTGGTTTAGTTCTGTCTTATTTAGACAAAAGGGGGAGATGTAGGGATAGCCCAGTCCCCTTAGGGGGCGTGTTCGCCTCGGGCTAATGTTTATATATAAATCTGAGCCTGCTGCCCTCTTTTTTTGTATCTCCTGCTCACCGCTGGATCCCTGGTGTTGTAAGCTATCCCCTCATTAAAATTTGCTGTTTCATATTAAGCTAGCCTGGTTATTACACTGATTACATATATAGTATATATATAAACTATAAATAGCTCATAGTTTGCAGAAAACTATGTATGAAGATCATAGATTAAAGGACCAGTTGGACAGATGGGTACACATCATGGTAATAATATAAAATCATAGATTAATGGACCAGATAGATAGATAGATGGATATACATCATGGTAATAACATGGAAATGAGAGGAGGAAGTAAAGAGGAAGTGGGAATAAACAGGACTTCAGATAGATGTCAAGACCACGACTGATAGCACACACCTAAAATCCAAGCACTCAAGAAGCTGAGACAGGAGGATTGCCACAGGTTGGAGTCTGGCCTGAGCTACACAGAAAGCAATAAGCCAACCAGGGCTGTATTCCAAGACCCTGTCTTCAAAAAAGTAATGATAATAATAAATAATAAGCTGTCAACAGTTGGATAGCAGAACACAAGTACATTATTCTTAGTACTTTTCTGTAATATTTAAATTCTGGAATATCTTTACTGTATTCCCCTATGTCACTGACTTCTAAACCATCCTTCAAAAGCCAGCTCAACTACTTATAACCTGTTCATTTCTCCTATTGCTTCCTTGGCTGCTTAGATATTGTATCCCATGATACGCTACTATTACTTACCACATGTATCTATAGCTTCCCTAAGACTTGTGAGCCATCTTATAACATTGCCCATGGAACCAGCAGGACAGTTCAGTGGGTAAAGGCACTTGTCACAAATCTACAACCCACCTGGCGGAAGGAGAGTACCAACCACCAATCCTACAAGTTGTCCTCCCCCTCTGGATACATGGCATGGCACACTTTCTTTTCTTTTTTTTTTTTTTTTTTTTTTTTTTTTTTTTTTTTTTTTTTTTTTTTTTTTTTTTNCGAGACAGGGTTTCTCTGTGGTTTTGGAGCCTGTCCTGGAACTAGCTCTTGTAGACCAGGCTGGTCTCAAACTCACAGAGATCCACCTGCCTCTGCCTCCCGAGTGCTGGGATTAAAGGCGTTTGCCACCACCGCCCAGCACACTTTCTTGTACACACACACACACACACATATATATATACAAAACAAAGAAAGATATAAAGATTAAAAATATTGCCCATGTAACCTCAGCAGGTAGCAAAGGGCCCAGCCAAAAGTAAACACTCAATATCTGTGAATTGAATTCAGATGAATTAAGCTGGGAGCAGGTATCACATAAGGCCTCAAAACAGCAGTTCATGGGCAAATGACCTGGAACATAACATACAGCACAGTATAAACAGCAAAGGAGACCCTGCCTCAACAAGGTAGAAGATGAGAAGCAGCTCCTTAGAGTTGTCATCTGACCTCCACCACTGCACAACACACGCCCCTACTCACATACATCACATGTGAGCATACACACACGCCAAATGTTTAAAGACTGTGGTTTTCATGCAGAGCACTATCTCTGGGGCAGGGGGTCCCTGTGTAGCTGAGGACGATCTGAACATACTGTGCAGCACTATCAGTGGAAGGAAGGGAATGCGGCTCAGCAGCAGCACGAGGAGCTCCCACTCTCCCACAGGGGCCTCCAGTCAGACAAGGCCAAGTCCTTGACCAAGCAGCGCATAACAGGATTTAAGGATGAAGTCAGACATGGAGGTACACACATATACGGTAGAGGAAACAGGAGCTTAAGGTCAGCCTCAGCTACAGCAAGTTCAAAGGCAGTCTTCAGACTCTGAGACTGTCTAATAAACAAACAAACGAAACAGTAACTATCAAGAGCCAAAGAGAAGCAAAATTAGTGAGTTTACAAAACAGTGTCCAGGCAGAGTGGCACATACCTTTAATATCAGCACTCAGGAGGCAGAGGGAAGTGAATCTCTGAGTTTAAGGCCAATTTGGTCTGCATAGTGAGTTCCTGGACAGCCAAGGCTCTGAAAAGAGATCCTACCCAATTAAAACCCCCCAAAAAGCAAAGAAAATACCAGTGATAGAATTCTAGGGTCAGCCGGGCGATGGTGGCGCATGTCTTTAATCCCAGCACTCGGGAGGCAGAGGCAGGCGGATCTCTGTGAGTTCGAGACCAGCCTGGTCTACAGAGCTAGTTCCAGGACAAGCTCCAAAGCCACAGAGAAATCCTGTCTTGAAAAACAAAAACAAAAAAAAGAATTCTAGGGTCAACTCCCAACTCAGTCCTACAAAACTCCAGACCTATATTTACTTGTTTATTGAATGTTGCACTTAGATGTCTGATAAGCCTCCCCAGCATTAACTGTCAGGATAGCAACGAAGTAAAATAAATACATCTAGAAATATTTTTTAAAAAATAAAATTATAAGTAAGGTGCATTTATTTAGATTTAGGTATGAGAAAGAGTTAAACTCAATGTCACAAATACTTTGGCCCTAAGAAAACACAGAATGGAGGCAGGTGGTGGTGGCATCTACCTTTAATCCCAGCACTCAAGAGGCAGAGGCAGGCGGATCTCTGTGAGTTTGAGGCCAGCCTGGTCGACAGAGCAAGTTCCAAGCAGGTTCCAAGCTAAAGAGACACCCTGTCTCTAAAAAAAAAAAAAAAAACAAAAAGGAAAAGGAAAAAGAAAGTATAGACTGGTTTTTATTTTAATCACATTTATTTACTTGGTGTGTGTATACATGTTTGGGTCTGCATAAGAGATGATGAGCTGTGGAGGCCAGAGGACTAGTCTCAAGAGTCACCACCCTCTGTCTGAGGCAGGCATGCATAGGAGATAGCTTAGCTGAGGACCCTATTTGAGTTTGGATTATAAATATACACATGCATCCTCTTGTAACAATACACTTGACACCCCAGCTCCTTCACCTGTATGTACTATACACACGTTCCTCTCCAAACAAACTAGCAAACTCAAAACCTCAACCACCAGTCTGCATCAGGCTACACATACTCCTATCTCTGAGCAGAAGTTTCTCCACCCCTAGTAACAATCAAATTTAGACAGTTTCTATTTAAGTGTGTGCCCAATATATTCAGATATGAAGAACAGAAGGAACAATCTGGTCTGAACTGGTTTTGGATGATGTGCAGCAAAGTAAAATATCTAGAAATGTTTTAAGGAGAATCCTCTATTTACCATCTCATGATGCCTATGCATAGCTGTGTGTGCATATTTCTAAAATCAGATACATTATGGGAAAGGACATGTGCACTAGGAAAAGTCAATACATGAACTGATCTATCAATCAAAGAAGAAAACCACCTAAACTATACAGCCCATTGTAACCAGCCCCACCTTCCTTTAGACTCAATAACCCCCCCCCAGGTGCATCGTAAGCCCCTGAGTGCCCTCACTCATTTGACCTACTGTCAATTGTAATCATTTTATAGAGGGATACTCATAAAATGTATTATTGATTCGCTCCAAATAAAGATAGCATGCTTCTTTTGTAAATCTTTGTGAGCCCTTATCTACTGGCTTGAGAAATGTCTCCCATAGACTCATACTTAGTCCCCAGTCTTTAGTGGGTGGAGCCTTGCTGAAGGAAGTACATCCCTCAGGGCGGGCTTTGAGAGTGACAGCTGGCGGCAGGTCCCCTATCTGGCCAGCCACTTGCTCTGGGCCTCCTTCCCTCCAGAGCTGTAAGCCAAATACAGTCTTCCTTTTCTAAGTCAGTTTTAATCTAGTCTTGGTATCTATCACAGCCACGGAAAAGGCACACCTCATTTCTTCAACTCTTTGAATGAGAGGAAACGAACACAGAAACACTCAACCTTGACCCTGCCCACCCAACCCCAATCATTAGTAACACTTGTACCTGGGAGAGTCCCAGGGATCAAATTCAGGTTGTCAGGTGTGGTGGCAAGCACCTTTACAGACTGAGACAGCCCTTTTCTGCTTTTACGAGTCGTCAGTGACTCTCGTGTCTTAAACTAGCCTTGAACTCCTGGTCTCCCAATTCTGTCTCCCAAATTGTCGGTTAACTGGCCTGCCCGGCCACAGCCCGCTTAGTGTGTTGTTTCTGATCCTGTGAGAGGTCTTCATGAAGACTAGCACTAACTCAGCAAGCAACTTTGGCTCCTTTGGTTATTCTGAAATTTCAACTCTCAGTAGGAAAAGCAAACTAGAATCTGGATCAGGGCACCTGTCACTTCACTGCCTGACTGAAAATGATGCCTAAAGTGAGGCATGAGTGCACACCTTCAGTCTCGGCACTCGGAACGCAGAAGCAGGTGGACCTCTGGGAGTTCGAGGGCACTCTGGTCTACTTAGCGAGTTCCAGGATAGCCATGGCTACATAGAGAGAACTTGCCTCAAATAATAATAAGACACCTAATATTACAGTAATATAATAATATAATACATATATATAATAATATAATAATAATTCAAGTCTGTGCCCTACTTTACTCCATTATCGTGTGAAACAGTGGCTTTTCAGATTCGATCTCTTTGTTTTGCCTTGAGAGATTCCATTTTACAAGCAGCTTGTTTTGTTTTGTTTGTTTTTTGGAGACAGGGTTTTTCTGTGTAGCAATGGAGCCTGTCCTGAAACTTGCTCTGTAGACCAGGCTGGCCTTGAACTCACAGACATACACTTGCCTCTGCCTCCTGAGTGCTTGGGTCAGCACCGCCCAGGAAGAATAAATTAAAATCTTATCATGAAAAATAGGCCCAAGAACTTTGATCAAACACCACAGACCAAGAAGAGGATCTAACTCCCTCATCTGGACCCCATAGAGTGACTAAGACTGAAATGCCATTAGCCTCCACACTGACCTCAAATACATAATGGCAATCCTCCTGCCTCAGCCTCCAGGGTGATGGGACCACAGGCATGCACCACCATAACTTACTTTTTATTGTTTGGGTTCTGTTTTGTGGGTTTGTTTTGTCTCGTTGAGGATCTACTGTAAAAAAGGCTTGCCTTGAACCCCTGGTCATCCACATCCACTTCCAGAGTACTTCCGTGGCCTCAAACAGTCTCTTTGTGTAGCCCAGGCTAGCGTCAAATTTGCATTTCCCTCGCCTCAATCTTGAAAATTTGGGGATTTTAAATATGAGCCACCTTGATCAGCTACTAACAAACTTTTTTTTTGAGCGAACTATGTAAGATAGACAAGTTTATTACAGAGTAACGTGCATCAAGGGATGGCAGTGGGCAATGGGCAGAGACCGCTGAGGAGCAAACCACTTTAATGGGGTGAGAGTAAAAGATAGCCAGAGAGACAAGTGTCCTAATTTACATTTTACGTAGGCTTTATACTATTTTAAAGCCTCTAGCAGATAGTTTACCAATGGATATTTTCCTGTCCGGGCGACTGCCAGGTGTGTTTGGGTTGACTATTTTGAGAGGGAAAATGTGCGCTTTTGTTCTTTATCTGAAAGCCTCCTGCTATGTAGTAATCTCATGAGCTCTTGGAATCAGACTTAGATAATCACCAATTAATGACCTTCTGGGCATTTCAGGATGTCACAGGGTCTGCCCAGGGCCTGAGATGAGCCAGCCCTCTTGCTAACCTCTGAATTTCCCCCTAACAAGCTTTATTTAAGAAAGAGCCTCATATAGCCCAGGCCGGCATCGACCTCCTGATCATACAACCCCTAACTCCAACTCCTCTGTGCTGAGACGAAGGGCCTGTGTACCATCATATCTGTCTTTCTGTGTGTGTTTATGGGTTTTTTTTGGTTTGGTTTGGATTCTCGAGACAGGGTTTCTCTGCGGACCAGCCTGGCCTCGAACTCACAAATGTCCGCCTCCTCAATGCTGGGATTCAAGGCGCGCGCCACCACAGCCGGCTACCACGTCTGCTTTAACGAATTCCTAAATAAAACAGTTCTAGAATCTGGTCCTTCGGTTCCCTACCAAAGAAATGGGAGAAGTTTTCCTACATATAACAAAAAGAAATGAGATGTGTCAGTCAGCGGCTCATCGTGAGCAAAGATGAGAGCCCTGAGCTAAGAACTGCCTGGAACGAAGACGCCTTGGCGTAGTAATTAATCACCATCCACAGTTTTTCCTCCAGGTCACCGCACTCACCTCAAGGTTCCACTGGTATCAAAACAAATTGCGCCTCAGGGTTCCGCCCCAACGTGGTTCGCAGAGCCCGAACCTCGCGAGATTTGCTGACCGGGTCAAATACCCGCTTACCCGCCTCTCACAGTAGCGGGCGCATGCGCAGCTCTTCAACGGCGAGGCTTGCGGGAAAGATGGAGTGTTCTACGCCTGGTACTACGGAGGCTGCGGACCCTGGAGGGGCCGGACCGTACAAGAGCTCCGAGGAGCAAGAGGGTCGGGAACCGGACGGAGTGCACTTCGACCGCGAGAGGGCGCGCCGCCTGTTGGAAGCGGTGTCCGGTGCTCAGCCGGCAGGGAGGGAGGAAGGTGAGTCGGGGGCTCCGGGGATCGTGGCTGGACGGAGGCGGGGCGGCCTGCAGCCTGTCTCTGGCCTGACGCGGGCCAGCCTCTGCACGACATCCCGGACCTCGAAACTCGCTACCCTGCGGAATTTTCGCATCCACACGAAGGCAGTTTCCACCAAATTCCAGGTCTTGTCCTCTTGGAGATCAACAGGACTTGCCCAGCCTGACCCTAGCCGAGCCAACTACCATTCCTATCTGTCCTTAATCCTACATCTCCACATTGCTTCTCTTCTCTTCTCTCTCAAAGCCCTACAGTTATGACGGATCTGAACGGCTTTATTCAATTTACTTTATTTTTATTTATTTTGCGACGCCTCTCAAACTCGTGGCGCGCCTCCTGCCCTATGAGAGGTCTGAGCTTTGGAAGGTCTTCATGAATCCCAGCCTCCTCTTGAGCTTGATGACTTGATGCCATATTTCTTTCTTGATAGACCTGACTAGCCTTGAACGTGCCTCAGACTCCTTAGTGCTGGTATGCTTGGCTTGCACCACCATATTCCTGCAATACCATATTTCTATGTGCCTGTTGCCAAGCCCCTATTCCAAAGAGGCGATCCAGGAGCTGGAGAAACTGGCCTAGGTAATCTTGTCTCCAGATGGCACATCTCACCCTGGGGCAGAGTTGTGGAGAGCAGTGTACCCAGTTCGGGTTGGTACACTTCTGAGCTGAAGTGAACAGATGCTTTCGTTTGACCCAGAACTGAGTGAGTAACAAGGGATGGAGAAGAACAGCAAGAGTCGGCCTCTTTCTCAGTCCTTTCCAGAGCTAGCTACTTAATGCTAACCCAGATGTACAAAAACTGTATCTGGGTTTCTGTGCTAATCGGATCTTTGCAGAGAAACCAGATTTCTGTCCTGGTTGGTTTGCTTGCAGACTAATCTAGGAAAGTTCAATGTTTGTGAACTGCTCTCCCTGAATAAAATTGTAATTTTTGACCATGTACAAGGGAGACATGTTTAAAAGCTTTTGCCTGTGTGTGTGCATGTGTGAGTGTGTGCCCTATGTGTCTGTCAGGTACCCAAAGAGGCCAGAAAAGGACATCACATCCCCTGAAACTGGAGTTACAGACCTTTAGGAGCTACCATTTGGGTGTTGGGAACTGAACCCTGGTTCTCTACAAATGCAGTAACTGCTCTTAACCCCTGAGGGATGTCTCAGATGGGGGGGGGGGGATACACAGAAAGGAAGTGACCTTGGAGATGGGAAGAGTGTGCCCTGGACCCTGAAGCCGAGAACACAGCAGTTGCTTAATGAACTATTTGTTTGCATATGCATGAGCACAATGCATACCTGATACATACAGCCCAGTTCATTTCCGTCCCCTCACTTACCTGCAGCATTTACATTCTGCCCACTTTTTTCCATCTTCACTGTTATAATTTATATGTCATAAATTCAACCATTATAGGTGTGCCACTCAAATGATTTAAAATGTCTTTTACTTTTAATTATGTCTATATGTGTGCCCCTGCAGAGTGGATACAGACACATTGGATCCCTTGGAACTGGCGCTACAGTTGTGAGCCAGCATGGGTGCTGTGAACCAAACTCAGGTTCTGAGTCTGAGGTCTACAGCCCCCAACTCAGTATTTTATTTTTTTCTTAAATTTATCTAGAGAGTGTGTGGCATGCATGCTCATACATGTACCATGGGTGTGTGTATGGAGGTCGAAGAGCAAGAGCTCTCAGGTGATGGTTCTCTCCTCTCACCATGTGGGTCCTAAGGATCAAACTCAGGCTCTTAGGCTTAGTAGCAAGTTCACTTACCCAGCAAACCATCTCACCAGCCCCTAGTCAGAGATTCTTAGTAAAATTAGAGATTTGTGTGGTCATAACCACAGTCCAATTCTAGAACATAACCACCATCACAGGTAGTGTCCATCTCTGGTCCTTCCCATTGGTCTCTTCCCACTTGCCCTAGGTAACCACTAATGTATTTTCTGTCTCCACAGATTTACCATTCCTCAACATCTCATACAAACAGAATCATACACTATATAGTCTTTGGTGTTTAGCTTCTCTCTGCATGTTTTTGGGGCTCAGCCAAGTCACTGCGTATGTTTCTTTTTATTGCTAAATAGAACTCTGCTTCTGCTAGGCCTGGAGGAATGGCTCTGCAGTTAAGAGCACTGGGTATTCTTCCAGAGGACCTGGGTTCAATTCCCAGCACCCACACGGCAGCTCACAGCTGTCTGTAACTCCAGTTCCAGGGCTTCTGACACCCTCCCCCCCACACACACACAGACATACATGCAGACAAAACTCCAATGAACATAAAGTTAAAATAAATTTTAGAAAGAATTCTGCTTTATGGGTATATTATATTTGCTTGAACATTTGCTTTTTTGGAATATCTGAATGGTTTCTAGCTTGGACCTTTTCTGAGAAATTCTTTTGGAGGGGTCTCTCATCTGGAGCTCACTATGTAGATAGATCAGGTTGACTCAAAACTACAGTAATCTGCCTGCCTTGGCCTCCTGAATGCTAGGTCTCGTGGTAGGCACTATCTTGCCCAGTGAGAAAATCTTTACAGTTTTATTTGTCTGTCTCTGTGTGTACACAGGCTCATGCATGTCATGGTGTTTGTGTGCAGGTCTCTTCTCCCGTGGTGGGATCAGGGCATTGACCCAGCTGGGTTGTAAGTCACATGGGTCAAGCACCTCTGCCTGATGACCACCTCACTGGCCCTCTTCCAGTGCATCTGCTGTGGGATTGTGTGTGGACATCCATTGTATCTTCCTGGGAGTGAATGTGCTAGGCTGTGTGGTAACTATCTTTAACATTTTGAGGAACTGTCAAATCTTTTGAAAATGGCTTCTTTCGATTTCTATTTCTTTCTTTAAAACATGAGCTTTAGTTCTCTATGTCCTCCCTTTTGTTTATTGTTTTACCTTTTGTTTGGTTTTCCTTTTGTTTTATGTTTTTGAAAAGGGTCTCTATATTATGTAGCTCTGGCTGTCCTGGAACTCACTCTGTAGTCCAGGCTGGCCTCAAACTCAGAGATCACCTGCCTCTACCTCTCAAGTGCCGGGATTGATAGAGCCTGCCACCACACTAGCTGTTTTAGGAGTGTGTAGTGATTTCTTGTTTTCTAAATATTGGTGACAGTAAGCACCATTTCACTTACTACTCTTGTATATTTTAGTGAACTATCTAGTCACATTGTTGTTCATGTTGTGACTTGGTTATTTGTTTTATTACTGAATTATAAGCCATTTTATATTCTAGGTGAAATCCTATATTTCAGATATGATATCCACATCTGTTTTCTTTGGGACTTGTCTTCATTGTTTCGTTTTGTGACGATTTTCTTCTTTTGGGGGTGTTTCACTATGTTGCACTGGCTGACCTGGAACTCTATGTAGACCAGGTCCTGGCCTCAGACTCAGAATGCTAGGATAAAAGGCATGCACCACCATGTCTGGCTATTTTTTATTACATTCATGTGTATGTGTGTGAGCACTTGGGTGCCATAGCACTCGTGGAGGTCAGAGGACAATTTGAAGTAGTTGTTCTTTCCTTCCACCTTGTGGATCCCAGGGACTGAACTCAGGAGTTCAGATCAGCTTTGGCAGCAAGTGCCTTAACCCACTGAGCCATCTCCCCAGCTCATTTTATAAACAGCTTTATTTTATAAACAGTGCCTTTTGAAGCATAACTACGTTCTACCATATGAAAGAACATGTGGTGCTTGTTTTTCTTTGCCTGTCTTTTCTCACTTAAAATAATGCCCTGCAGTTCTATTCATTTTGCTGCAAATGACAGATTTCATCGTCTTTTTGTGGCTGTATAATGTTCTGTTGGGTATAGGTACTGTTGGGGACCATGCTTCAACAAGTAAACCACTTACCAGGGTAGAGATGTGAGGATTAGAAAAGTTAGCAAAGAGCAAAGTCAGAATGATAAGATGGTACCGGGAGGGAGTTCCAGTGAATACTAAAATTTGCCTGTGTTTAATTTTCCATACACTTTTATACCCCAATACCAGAGGTGAAAGAAGACAGAAGACTGCTTTAACCTGATACAAAGGACAACTAGAGCAGTTTCTTGCTTCAGTACTTTGAGCCATCAAGTCATTAACATTCTGTTGTCTAGGCAGTGAGAATCCTGAAGGCAGCTACTCCCAAGGTCAAACCTCCTATTTCAAAAGGAGTGGAAGTAAGTTTGAATATCCTGACCGTTGGTCAGAGGGGAGTGGATTTACCTATATGGGCCATCTTAATGTCAGAAACACCAAGTAACCACATCCTAGGTCAGGGTGTAGCCACACTTGTTCTCAACAGCTGTGAACAAGCTAAAACTCTGACCTTCAGACAAGATGGAAATGGGCTCACACTTTTACCTCCACATACTCCTCCCTTTTTGTCAATTTTAATAGAGCCTAAGCTTCTGCTCCAGGACAGACAGTTGTGTCTAGAAAGTGATGAGTTTCCTGCAGCTAAACTAGTGGCAAAACTCTTTCCCTCCTCCTGACTCTGTCTGTCTGTCTCCCTCTCCCCCTCTGCCTGCCCCCCTCTGAAGGAGAGCATCAAGTGGTCAACTCAGCTGTAAGAAGCACATGATCCATGTTGTGAGCAGGGAAAGGGAGTAGAGATAATGACAAGTTTTACGTCAGAGCTGGAGCTGAATGACAGCTTACCTAACGTTCGCAGGGTAAGGTGCTGGGAGGTAGGAGTGTCAGCAGGTCTAACCATCTTGATTTGGTGACATCTGATTAAAAAAGTTAAAGATGAAGTTGTTCAAAAGTACCTAAAACTGAAAAATTCCACATCCAGGTACTGGTTTTTGGTTGGGCCAGCTTCCTAGAAACCCTTTCTGTTCAGCTAGGACTTTGTACAGAGCATCAAGATGTCCTCTGTTAAGACTGCTGACTCTCAGTAATGCAGATCCAGGCTTGTGTTCTTCTCTATGGAGGCCAGGATATACTAGGCTAAAAAGTTACCTTCCACCATGGAGAGGGATTAGATTGCTGCATTCACACTGTCCAATTACTTGGAACATTTGCTACAGCCAAGCATGGGGCCAAGCATGGTCCCATGCGTGTAATCCCACACTTGGAAGCAGAAGCAGGCTGATCTCTGTGAGTTCAAGGCCAGCCTGGTGTACAGAACAAGTTCTAAGGCCACATAATGGGCTAGAAAGTTGGCCCAACAGTTTAATGCACTGACTGCTCTCGCAAATATCCAGGTTGGATTTCCAGAACCACTTGGCAATTCACAACTGTCTGTAACTCTGTTTTCCTGGGATTCAGTGCCCTCTTACGGCCTCCATGGTGTGCAGGCATGCATGCAAGCAAAATACCGATACACATGACATAAAGTAATTTTTTAAATTCAGTTATAGACCTATCTAATAAGGAATGCATATCTATGTCTTGGATGTGTGTCTTAGTTAGGGTTTCTATTGCTATGAAGAGACACGGTGACTTCGACAGCCCTTATAAAGGAAAAATATTTAATTGGGGTGGCTTAACATTTTCAGAGGTTCAGCCCATTATCATGGTGCATCATGGCAGTATGCAGGCAGACATGGTACTGGCTCTATCTTGATCAGAAGGCAATAGAAAGTGAACTGTCTTACTGGGTGTGGCTTGAACATATATGAGACCTCAAAGCCCGCCTCCATAGTGAAACACTTCTTCCTATAGTACTGCACCTAATCCAGCAGTGCCATACCTCCTAATAGTGCCATTCCTTCTGGGAGCCATTCTCTTTCAAACTTCCACAGTGTACTTTGTCCTTTTCCTAAATAACTATCTCTCCTGTAATGTTGTTAAAACTATTGATGTTGTTTGAGATGGGAATCTTACTATGGAGCCCTACACAGCCTGGAACTTACTGTGTAGACTAGACTGGCCTTGTACTCAGATCTAGCTGCCTCTACCACCTGAGTGCTGTTATTAAAGGTGTGCACCTCTTCATCCTGCTTTAGAACTTCTTCATGAGAAGTCCTCGGCTACACTTTCTAAGTTAGTGTGTGGTGCTGTGAGCTTACAGTCACATCTGCCGAGGCAGAAGGGTCCCTTGAGCCAGGAATTCATGGGCAGCACAGGACAACCTCGTCTCACCTGACAGCAGTGTGTGACTGGGTGACTAAGAACACTGGCCTATATAAAATAAGTAATAATGCAGTTGGTTTGTGAGCACAGCACGAGCCATGGCCCAGTGACAAGGAGAAGCAGATCTGCACATGTGTTGGAATGAGGTGTCCCATTCCTCAGTGCCTGTGTTTGGGACAGATCGGAGACAGTGCTGTTGAGGGCATATCTGTCAGCTTGTATGAATTCTCTTCCCTCTGTAGTGGAGCACATGATCCAGAAGAACCAGTGTCTCTTCACCAGCACCCAGTGTAAAGTTTGCTGTGCCATGCTGATTTCTGAGTCCCAGAAGCTGTCACATTACCAGGTAGGCCTTTTCTACCATAGCCATGAACTTACCTTCTGGTCTAGTGCCAAGCCCTCGCCGCTCCTGTCTTGCACAGTGAATGCTGATTCTTCCAGATGTTTCCTTCATGCATGATTGCTTGGGACTTGAAGATTGACTTAATTTCTGTGAATCTCATCTCTCCCATCCGAATAAATGGACCATTATGTAGGTCTTTCTGTACAGCGCAGTATAGTGGGAAGTGTGAGCTTTGGCTTTACACACACTTGAATTTGAATCCAGCTCTGTTACATCATCTTATAGGCAAGAAATTTCACCATGCTTGGCCTCAGCTTCTACATGTATAAAATAACAATATTCTTATAGATTGTTAAGGCTAATGTAATAGCAAGTCAAGGGTCTAGCACATAGTAGGAACTCAGTAAATGAGTTTTCTTCCCCCATTTTCTTATTCTCAGTTTTGTGAGGAGGATTCAGGTGAGAATCTGCTGTCATGGCTGCCTTCTCTATGAAATGGCACTGGCTATCTTTGATCTTTCTCCTTGGACTCTTGCAGAGCAAAAAACATGCCAACAAAGTGAAGAGCTACCTAGCAATCCATGGAATGGAGACACTAAAAGGGGACGTGAAGAGGTTAGACTCAGATCAGGTAATACAGCTGCGTTGTTGAAATTGCTTGCTTCCCCAGCAGGTTGGTGTGGTGTGAGCGCAGACTTTGATTCAGCCTGACTTGGCTGCAGTCTCAGCCCTGTTGTCTAACTTGGGCAAGTCTTGTAACCCCGAGCCTTGACTTCTTCCTCTGTTAAAAACAACAGTACTTCCAAGCATGGTGGTGTGTACAAGTGACCAAGCACTTGGAGGTGGAATCAGGAAGATCAGTAGTTCAAGGTTATCTTCCTCTGCATAGCAAGTTTGAGGCCAGCTTGGGCTACAGTGAGAGACTGTCTCAAAACAAGCAAAAAGATTATTACAGCTGCCTTTCAGAATTTTTCTTAAGTTGAGAAAAGACTTCTAAAACACCACCAGACCCCAGACCTGCCCTACAGTAGCAGTTCAGCAAAGGGAGCCATTCATTGCTTTCCCACCTGGAGGGTTACCGACACAGTACAAGAGAGGAAGTAGAGGGATGTTCATTTTCTTGAGCTGTAGGGGAAACAAGCTTTAGCATTTGGCCTGGGCAATATACCTCCTCCAATTATGAAGCAATTGCATTTATTTCCTATTTCATAGTTACTATAAGAATTATTCTGAGACAAACTCTTAATTCCTTGAGTGTGCTGTGACTTTCAGAGTGTAGAAGTTGTGCACATTATGGGCTGGAAGTCAGTGCACATGGCTCTAACTCACTAGAGCCTTGAGCAAGTCACCTCACCTCCCTGCGTTCACTCGTGAAGTGGAGGTGGTCTGGAGTTGGTCTGGCTTCCTTAGTGTTGTGAGGTAGAGTTTCGTCCCCAGTAAATGCTTGATAAACAAGGGTTAATTTCCAGACCACCTTCCTGCTGCAGTGGCCGGTGGTTTAAAGGGGCCTTGCTTCCCTTCTAAAAATCATCTTGTAGTTGCCCTCATGGCTGAGATCCACATAGGGAAGATCATTTCATCATTTCACCTCTGCGCACTTCAGTTCTTCAGATGAGATCACAGTACCCATCACCAGCTAGGAATTACTAACCCCAAAATGTCTTCAGTAAGAAGGTTGAGAAATGTTAAAGAAATAGCTTATTGAGAAGACAGACTTTTCAGGAAGATTAAAATACACTTCCTAGCATAACCATAGCAACAGATGGAACCTGGTGGTGTACTTGTTCTAAGAGCCCTGGATATGTACTGTGTGCTCGACACAGCAGGGTCCAAGGATAGGTAGCAAAGAGAAGTCAAGGTGTCCACAGCCAGCATTGCACTTGAGCTCGTATCAGAGCCTCCTAAGCTGTTCTGTCTGTGAAGGTGACAGAGGGTGTGTTAGAAATCTGATAGACTTGGAGTACAGGTGAGGAGCAGGGTTAATTCTTCCTGCGTATGCATACAGGGTTAATTCTTCCTGCGTACGCGTACAGGGTTAATTCTTCCTGCGTATGCGTACAAGGGGGCTTGGGCATTGGATGGTGGATAGCAGACCTACTGCCCGACAGGAGGGTGGAGGAATAACCCAAGCAAAGCAAAAAAGTAACAGAATAAAATAGAAGTTATGCACAGTCCGGCCATGAAACAGCCGGAGAAGACTGCTCCAGGCATGTTGGGGTTAGCGTGTGCAGGGGTCTTAATGTGCGCCAGCCACGGGCAGGGGAACCATTGAAGGTTTTCTGGATGCGCAATGGCATGATCAGACTGTGTTCTCTCTCCCAACCAGAAGAGCAGCAGAAGCAAAGACAAGAACCACTGCTGCCCCATCTGTAACATGACCTTTTCCTCCCCTGTTGTGGCACAGTCGCACTACCTGGGGAAGACCCACGCAAAGAACTTAAAGCTGAAGCAGCAGTCCACTAAGGGGGCAGGTACTGGCTTTCTGAGTAGTGCTTTTGGGACCCCTCCCGTCCTCGGAGCACCAATGCCAGGTGCTTCCAGAATGCTCACTGGGGCCTCAGACTTGGAGAGGTTGCTTTTAAGAGCCCTGAAAGTTCCACCTAAGAGTTGGGGATGTAAGTCAGTTGGTAGAATACTTCCCTAATGTGCATAAAGGCTCGGCTTTCATTCCCAGCCTTACGTAACCAGATGTAATCTCAGCACTCAGGAGGTGGAGGCAGGAAAATTAGTGGTCCAAGGTCATCCTCAGCTGCCATAGGGACTTTAAGGCCATGAGCTACATGAGACCTGGCTTCATTGAAATTCGGCCTCAGACTTGCTTTACTTCACTTCCCCCTTGTGGTCTGCCACATTTTCTATAGAAGCTCCTTAGCCAAGGCTTGTCCTGACCAATGACTGTAACTCAGAGAGCGGAAGGCCGACACACACCATGAGCATTCTTGCTTGCCTCTTCTTCCCACCACCCACCTGCTCTTACTACTAAATGTTGCTAGTTGATAGCTAATTCCCCGTCTTTCTCATGGGCTCAGGTTATGCCTGGCTCACTTGGACCTACAAAGGCTGCCTGTTCTAAAGGTGCGGGCTAGGCTTCAAAGCAGCGCACTCTAGTGTTGCCCAGCAAGCTGTTTGCAGCTGCCATAAACCCACTTCCCAGCACTAACTTCACAGTTGCCTCCTTTGTCCTGCCACCATTGGCCCAACCTTCACTTTCATCTTGAGTCCTGGGGTTCTTAACCAAGGCTAACTGCAGTTAGTCAGAAGTGGGAGACCTTTGATTTCTGGGATGTGTGTGTATGTGTGTGTGTGTTCTCTGTGTTAGACCAAGACCACACTATTGATAGAACTTTTGATTCTTTTTGTTTTACTGCATTAATGAAACAAAACAATTGTGCTTTAGAAGGTTTTGAAGATAGGATAGACAAATCTACTCATAATTATACCCTCTATTTATTCCCAAATCTGTTACCTACAGTGTGAAACAATAGCCCGTAGACTCTGAAGTCAGAACAGCACAGGCTTCAGTCCTGGCGCTCTCACTTGCCGTCTGTGCCTGTGAAGCATCAGTGCCACCTGCTTTGAAGCTTGTGAGGGTAATTTCCAAACCACTGGGCAGCCAGGTGTGATGGCACACCTCGGATCCCAGCACTTGGGAAGTGGGGGCAGGAAGATCAGGAGTTCAATGTCATCCTTGCCTAAGTTTGAGACCAGCCTGTCCTATATGGCAGCCAAAAAATAAATAAGAGGCAAACACCACATCCTCCCCCACCCCCAAGAAAAATCTAGGATACAGCAGATTCTCACTAATAACAGCTATTGTCATTATTGTTGTCACCATTAAAAAGCCAGAGTGAAATCCCCTCATAAAATGCACTTATTGATCTGGAAGCCACTATCTCGAGCAATGATTCTCAGTCTCCCTAATGCTGTGACCCTTTATACAGTTCCTCATATCGTGGTGATCCCCAGCCTAAATTTTTTTTTGTTACTGCTTCATAACTAATTTTGCTCCTGTTATTAATCATAATGTAAATATCTGTGTTTTCCAATCGTCTTTGGTGACCCCTGTGAAAGGGTCGGTCGTTCAACCCCCAAAGGGGTCGAGACACACAAGTTGAGACACACTGATCTAGAGTGTGCCATTGACCTTGCTTGTGGCTGATTTGTTAACTTAGATGAGGACTATTGAGTTTTGTCTGTGAAGTGAGGGCTGGTAACAACAGCACCACGATGTTTAAGCATTGGGCTGAGGAAAATTGTCTTAAGAACTGAATTCATAATGTCATAGACTTCACATCCCACAGATGAGAAAATTCTGTGGAAAGAGCCTTACTGATGCTTCTGCGCAGTAGTGACTTTGCACACTCTGTGTTGCATCAGCCGTTTGTGTTCCCCTGGTACTTTTCATTCAGCCTCATAGTTTAAGCATATGTTCATATTACTTCATGAGTTTATTGTAACTTTATTCCTGAAATTAAACATTTGTCTATATAGATAAATTGGAAGGAATTTCCATAGTTTTACCATTCAGAGTGTTAGCCTTTTAGAGTACTGTTGCTCTTATGATCTTGTGCACTGTGAGTATTGTATATCTGCTTGTATTCTATTTGTTTTATGTTCATCCAAGTTGACTCCATGTATATGTGCTTATAAACATAGAATACATAATTTTCTGTTTGTTAAAATGATGCACATACATGAATAGTTCCGTTCAATATGCAAAATGTTCAAAGAAGCAAGTAAAATGCCACCCAACTCCTACTTCTAGGAGAGCACTGTTAACAGTGGTTCACGCTTAGAATCTTTGTACTTGAGAAGCTGAGACAGGAGGATTGCTGAGTTTAAGACCATCCTGGGCTACAAGTAAATTCTAGGCCAACCTGGGTTATAGAGTGAGACCCTGACTCAAAAGAATAAGCAAACAAATACATCCATATGCCGCAAGACATGCTATCATGTATGCATGTGTGTGTACATGTAAGTGACATTTTTAAATGCCAGTATATTTATATAGATTACACAAAAAACTTTTAGCATTGACATGACCATATTGTCATGACAATATGGTCTTTTTATATTAATTCATTTAGTATAACACTTCCTGTTAGATGATAGAGAGCTGACTCAGCAGTTAAGAGTGTGTTCTAGCAGGGCAGTGGTGGCAGAGTTCAAGGGTTCGAGGTCAGCCTGTTCTACAAGAGCCAGTTCAGGACAGTCCTCAAAGCTGCAGAGAAACCCTGTCTCAAATCCACCCACCCAGAAAAAAAGAGTGTACTCTACTCTTGCAGAGGAACCAAGTTAGATTCCCAGCACCCATGTGGGGTGACTCAAAATCCTGGTAACTCCAGCTCCAGGGGGCTCCATCACCTCTGGTTTTCATGGGTACTGCTCTAAGTGCACTTACCACACAGGCACGTGCAATTAAAGTCTTGGATTGAGCCGGGCGGTGGTGGCGCACGCCTTTAATCCCAGCATTTGGGAGGCGGAGGCAGGCGGATCTCTGTGAGTCTCGAAAAAACAAAAATAAGTAAATAAATAAATAAATAAATAAATAAATAAAACAAAGTCTTGGATTAAAAAGAAAAAAATTCCCCCAGGTTATTGCAAACTTTTTGTAGGTGTTTTTAACAATCATGCAAAACTACTTGATGGCTCTTCTAATGTTGAGTCTTTACATTTTCTCCCGCTTTTCCTGTGTTATAAAAACATAACAGACATCCCTGGAAAACACTCTGCATGTTTCCCATATTTCTCTAGAGCAGCGCTCACTCTTGCTGGCGCTGATGTCCATTAAATAGCTCCTCTAACTCTGCAACGCACTGCACTACTTCCCTCCAGTAGGAGTTTTTGACAATATCTATTTTTGTGTTTATGGATGTTTTGCCTGCCTGTATGTCTGTGCACCGTGTGCGTGTAGTGCCCACAGAAGAAGGCATCAGACCTCTAGGACTGGAATTGCAAGCAGATGAGAGCCACCATGTGGGTGCTGGTACTACCATTGTGGGGCCAGGTCCTGTGAAAGAGCAGTCAGTACTCTTAACCACTGAACCTTCTCTCTAGCCCCATCCTCTAGTATGTTTTTGAATAACCTTGGACCATCAAGGATTGTGCTTGCCACACAATCCTGGGTGTCTGAGTCTGACTCTCAGACCCTATGTGGAAGTGAAGAGAGAAAACGGAATCACAGAGTTGTCCTCTGACCTCCACACGTGTACTCTGGCATGCACACCTATGAGTACACAAACATGTATACACATAGCATCCACTTTGAAAAGGCCATCTATATGGCCTGCTTTCAACATCCCATGTCGACCTATGAGAGGATCATACATATGTCCATAGCAGACTCAGATTAGCTGGTTTCTTTTTTTAAGAAAAGATTCATTTCCGTTGTTTTTTAGATTTGTTTGTTATGTATACGGTGTTATGCCTGTATGTATTACTGCATGCCGAAAGAAGGCACCAGATCTCATTATAGACAGTTGGGAATCACCCTGTGGTTGCTAGGAATTGAATTTAGACTCTGGAAGAGCAAGCAGTGCTCTTAACCACCGAGCCATCTCTCCAGCCCTCATTTCTATTTTGTAAAGTTTGTGTGTATGTGTATACATGTGTGTATATGTATGTACACTTGCCTGCATAGGCCAGAACAATTGGATAAAGGCTTTGTGAGCCACGTGACAAGGATGCTGTGAACTGAACTCAGATTCTCTGGAAGAACAGTAGTCATTCTTAGCCACTGAACCTGCTCTTCAGCCCCTGACAGATTGAATTCCTAGCGCAGAGTCAGGAATATTTTCTAATGATGCCTGCCTCAGTGTTAACCCTCAGATCTACTTGCTGTACACTTGAGCCTGGGGTAGAGCAACAGCTCCAGGGTCACACAGTCCAGGGTTCTCTCACTGATTTGGTCATCTTGAGAAAATAATTTTTACGTCTAAGCTTCAATCTTCTCTGTAATATGGCAAAATGATGCCTACTTCATTGGAGTACTTCTGAGAACAAAAGGAAAATGTGTATACAAAGTGTATAAATGTTACTGCCACCATTTCTTCTCATTGCCTCACATTGCCTAAAATCATTGTAGTCTGATAGGCATCTCTGTCAGGTGTGGTGGCACTCTTCAGTCCTAGCCTGGTTTACATCTAGCCAGAGAGCTATAGAGCTACATAGCGGGGCCCTTTCCCAAAGATAGGTAGGTAGGTAGGTAGGTAAGTAGGTAGGTAGGTAGATAGATAGATAGATAGATAGATAGATAGATAGATAGATAGATAGATAGATATTAAAAGCAGTTCCTAATCTGGTTGCCTGGCTCTATATGGGCTCAGAGCTTGAATGTCTACTTCAGCTCTGTAACTGAGGTATTGTATTTTGAGGATGGGAATGAAAATTTCACATTTCTTATCATACTCACTTTGAAATTCCAAGACATTCTGAGGACTAGAGAGACTGAAAGTATGTTTGCTTGGTCTGTTCCAGTTAGGCAGCGATATTCCTAGTTCAGAGCCTCTTCAGAGTGTGAGAACATCAGGGCTCGTATTCCTAAAGCTGGCAAACAAATCAGTTGTTCATGGCATCTGATCATGCCAGCTTTCCCAATTGAAGAGGCATTTATGGTATGAGCCCCACAGGCAGTGCCCCATTTCCAAGTGTGATGGGTCACGCTGCCTTTCTTCCACTTCAAGCATACTCAAAAGCCTGGCACCTTCTGGGTTGTTTTTTCATTGTTTCTGTTTGAACTCTCTCACCACAGCTCTGTCGAAACACCTTACAAATCCTTTCCTTGTGGCCTCCACCTTAGCCTTGCACCAGAATAGAGAGATGCTAGACCCAGACAAGTTCTGCAGCCTCTGCCATTCAACCTTCAACAACCCTGTCATGGCTCAACAACATTATATGGGCAAGAAACACAGGAAGCAGGAGACTAAGCTCAGACTCATGGCACACTATGGGCGACTGGCAGACCCTGCTGTCTCTGACTTACCAGGTGAGAGAGCCCGGCTCATACACAAGAGCTGGACCAGGGACTGAGCACTGGAGCTCCCTGGATGACCCAAGTGTGTGTTGCTTCCTGCCTCTTCTAAAGCAGGGTTTGCAAACACAGAAGGTAATCAGGAAGCCAGGTTTGGTGTGCACTCCAACACTTAGGAGAACGAATCAAGGGTGGTCTGGGGTACATAGTGGGAACCTGTCTTTAGGGGATATAGGGGAGCAAGCAGGAAATTTAGTAAGCTCCAAAGATAACCACAGTCAGAGTGTATAACACTCTGAGTTCTACTGGTGTTGCTGGTTTTTGATTTTAAAGTACTGTGGAAATCAGGTATGGTGTACGCCTTTAATCTCAGTATTCAGGAGGCAGAGGCAGATAGATTTCTGTAAGTATAAGGCTAGCCTGGTCTATATAACCAGCTCCAAGACAGCCAGGACTACAGAGAGACATGTTTTAAAAAAGCTATGGAAATCCAAATTAGTGTTTTTATTATCATTATTGTTAGTTTTATTTTGATACTGGGCATGAAATACAGGAGTTTGTGCATGTTCAAGAGCCACCAGTTTATAATCTCTGATTTAAATGTGTGTGTGTGTAATCCCAGCACTCTGGAGGGAGAGGCAGGTGGATCTCTAAGTTTAAGGCCAGCCTGGGCTACAAGAGCTAGCTAGTTCCAGGACAAGCTCCAAAGCTACAGAGAAACTCTGTCTCGATAAAGGAAAAGGAAAAGAAGTGTGGCCAGCAGTGGTGGTATGTGCCTTTAATCCAGCACTGGGGAAGCAGAGGCAGGCAGATCTCTGAGTTTGATGCCAGCCTGTTCTACAAAGCTAGTTCTAGGACAGCCGGAGCTATGCAGAGAAGAAAAAGATTTTTATTTGTTTATTTTTGGTTCTTCCAGACAGGGTCTTTCTGCGTAACAGCCTTGGCCATTCTGGGACTCGCTTTGTAGACCAAGTTGGCCTCCAACTCACAGAGATCCGCCTGCTTCTGCCTCCCAAGTGCTGGGATTAAAGGTGTGCGCCACCACTGCCCAGCAAGATTTATTTTTTTTAATTATGTGTTTACTGTTTCTGTGGGTGCGTAAGCACGGATACCCAAGGAGACTAGAGAGTTACAGATGGTTGTGACACCTGATGGGAACTGAACTCGGGTCCCTTGGAAGAACAGCAAGTGCTCTTAACTACCTAGCTATCTCCCCAGCCTGATTTAAACTCCCTAGGTAACATCCACATTGCTTGATTGAAGGTCTAGTGGTCTCTACCAAAGTTTGAGCATCCTCAGGATAGCTCTTTCCTTGGCATTTTAGATCTACCTGTATCACTGGGGAATCATGGTGAAGGAGGGGGCCATTCTAGCTTCCTTAACCTCAAAATATCACCTGGCATCATGGGAATGGGCATTTACAAATAATTCTGGGCCTTTCCTTTTGGTCTACAGTGTGTTTGGGGCTGGGAATATTACCCAGTTGGTAGAGTGTTTGCCTAACATGCACACGAAGTCCTGGCTTCAGTTAGCAGCACCACATAAACAGCACAGCAGCACACACCTGTAATTCCAGCACTTGGGAGATAGAGACTGGAGGATTAGGAGTGCACACATAAGCAATTATATATATA